TACTATGTTATATTATATTATATTATATTATATTATATTATATTATACTATGTTATATTATATTACAACACATAGCTATATATTACATGTTATTTTGTTATATTCGGTTTCATTATACAATACATTATATTACATTATTATATTATGTCATGCCATATCATACTGTAGTTTTATATACGATTCTATAGTACATAATGTTTTACGATATCATCTATTATTATATCAAGAAAAACATTATATTGTTTATATGTTGAACTGTCTTATTACATGATATCATATCACTTCATCTTTCTTCAAAAGTTGCTATAAGGGCTCCCAAACAAGGGTTTCCAGAAGGGTTTTGGATTTTAGGGGCTTCCAGGCTCCAAGGCATTGGGTCTTTTGACCCACCCAAGAGCGTAACTTTCTGCGTAAATACCACAGTAAAGTATTCGAGCCCCAACGCCCGAATGCAGCTAATCCTCGAAGCAGTGAACACCAGAGCCCTGAACCCCGAAAAATGTGCAGATAAACCTTTTAAGACAAGAAGCACCAAGGCCCTAAAGCCCTAACAAACAAGAACGAAAACAAAGCCGCAAACACCCCGGGCCACAAAAAACAAACGGAAGCCACCCCTAAACCCTAAATCCTAACCCCTGAACCCTATGAACGGCGCTATAACCCCTAGGCCCTAAGCCCTACAAACGGTCCTATAACCCCTAAGCCCTAAACCCTAAACCCTAACCCCAAAGCCCTATAAACGGTCCTATAACCCCCAAACCCTACAAACGGTTTGACCTCTAGTTAATCCCGCTATGACCCCTAAACCCTAAACCGCAGGTCCGGGCGCATCCCAAGAGGCCCAGGCCGCGGTGCTCACGCGCCCAGGTCCCCGGCCTCTCCTGCCCAGGCCCCTTTGAGCGGTTCATTGTAAAAATAGGGCTTAGGGTTTAGGGTTTAGGGTTTAGGGCCCAAATAATTACCAAGACTGCTTTTTCGGGGGTTCCTTCCTCTTATGGCTATCGTGGAATATGCCCCAAAACCTATTCTAATTGTTAAGGCCCCGATTGAGGGTCTAAGTTTTAGTCGACAAAGCTTGCCGTTCAGAGTTTGGGGGTGGACTCTTTTGTCCGCTTTTGCTGGCACAAGAGCAAGGAGTTTTGGGGCAGGGCTTCCGGCAAGACATCGCGTGCTGGTGCTGCCGCAGTTGTTTGCGATATTGCAAGCAGACGCCATCATGCAGGTGTTTAGGGTTCTGCCTCCTTGAATGTCCATCAAGCTGCCGGCACCTGCAATCCCTCAACCGTAGACGGTTACAAGGACATAATCGACAAGGCTTGAGGAAGAGAGTCGGATTTGGGGTTCATAGAATTCCGATAATCCAGGGAATGTGGGCGCATATTAACAGTCGTGGTCCCGAAAAGGCATGAAAACATGAATCTCACGGCTATCCTGCAAGGCTTCTAGAAGAGGGTGGAGGGTGTGGGGTTGGACGGCATGTAACCCTAAACCCTACACCCAGAGCTTGGGATGATCGCAGGCTTTTCCGGAGCACGGGACTTGGGATGGTCGTTTTACTCGAATCACGACCTCAGGATCCGCTTAGAGGGGCATGAATGAATTACTACTACTACTACTACTCCTGCTGCTGCTGCTGCTACTACTACTACTACTTCTGCT